TTTAATAGGCTTAGCATAAACATAAACACGAAAATCTTTTAAAGACTCTACTACTGCCAATGTTTCTAGCTCGTAACTGTGATACATTGATTCTTCACGTGACGTCACTCTACTATACTACTACTATAAGAAACAGGCTTTAGCTCGCCACTGTATTGAATCTGTAACAAAATACTACCTATTCCAAGCTTACTTGCATCTGTATGTATTTCACATGATAAATTAGGATCTTACAAGACTAGAACTGGCCTAGAACATAATTTTTCTTTCAATGTATTAAAACTTTGCGCCCGAATATCAGTCCAACGGAATTCTTTTTGGTTAAGTCTGTGAGCGGTTTTGCTAAAATAGCGAACTGACATATGTATTTTCTAAAATAGCTACACAGTCCCAAAAATTGCCGAAGCTCGTGTAAATTTGTGGGTATAGGAAATTTTTATACACTTATTTCATGTCCTAAAAATGATACTTAAGACTTTAAAAACGAACATTTCTTTATATTAAGCTTAAGATCGCATCTTCGTAGTTGAACAAAAACTTTTTCAAATAACTGTAATCCGGCATCTTCTGTGACTGTAGATAAACGTATGTCATCCATGAACGCAACAACTTCATCATTTCCTACTAGATATACTAGTTTCTTTATAACGCACATAAAAACTGATGGAGCATTAGCAAGTCCAAACGGTACTATTAAATATTATTACGCTGTCTTACGTACAGATTTATCATCAATTTTGATGTGATGATATCCAGAATATAAGTCCAAATTTGTAAAGAATCGTTTTCCTGATAATCGTGCTAATGTGTCATCTATACGAGGTAAGGGAAATATTTCCTTAACCGTTATTGCATTAAAATCCCTATAATCTACGCATAACCGATAATCACCATATTTTTCGCACAAGAATAGCATATTATAAGCATATTCTGAGTTAGATTCCCTTATAATATTACCTTCAAGCAACTCCTTTATTTTTTTAGCTACATTATCCCTTTCCGTATAAGCTAACCTATAAGGCTTTCTATTTATTGGTTTATCTGTAGTTAAATTTATGAGCATCACTCGCAAACTAGTGAGGCCTATTTCAGCTGCAGAGCTAGCAAAACAGTCACTATAATCACGAAGTAAACAAAATAATATTTTTTGAAGCAATCCTTTAAACAACCAACATTTATGTCGGAATATTTAATACCGCCCACAACGTCACTTTCCTCCATCACCTCTGATACGTTTCTCAAAGAAAATATTTTTGAACTCACCTCAGTCATCGCCTCACATCTCTCCGCTCGTGTCACAACCTCTCCTTTTTTCCAAATAAATGGCTCTACACCAACATTGCAGACCTTCAAATAACCGGTACCATTCCGAAGAACCATACTAGCGATTGCATAGTCTACCTTACCCATACTATGCTGCTTTGATTTAGTACAAACATTTAAATACTACTAACTCTAAATCGGCTGGCTTCTTCGACAATATCTAATGCACCTAGGATTCTCTCAGGACATGATCACTCCATTCTTTGTTAAGTTATGCTCTATTCCTTCGTTGTTGATAATAGGTTGCCCTATTATAAGTGCAACATTTCCAAAATCGATATTAGCATTAACTGCAGTCGTTTCCATTTCAACTTCATCGACAGAAAGGTTAAATCGGACTTCTCCACTAGCTCGTGCTTGTCCAGTGAATCCTTTTAATATAATATTCGTGGGTTTTATTTCTAATTTGATCACTTTCGCAACATCTTGCGCCATCACATTTAATTCACTACCCATGTCCAAATATGCTCTCATAAATACCCCATTTACTCGTGCAGTCTTTTTATATGCATCATTTAATTGTGACATAATTTGGATCTTTTTTTCTTGTTCAGTAGTCGTTATGTAGCATGTCGGCGTAGATGTACAATGATTCGCAACGTGGCCCACTTTTCCACATCTAAAACATGTCCTCTTTTCAAGAAGATTACAATTAGGTGCAACATGACCGCTCTCATTGCACCTATAACAGATTGGTGGTGATCGACTTGTGCCAGTATCTTTTATGTAGCTTACCATTATATCTGAAGTTCGCGTATTTGTTGGCTTAGTACTCATAGCCCGTACAGACGTATTATTGATATCAGTACTTTGATAAGTATTGAAAGCAGACAGAAAACCTTCGTATAATTCATCAGGGTTAGAACACTGAAAAGCTTGAGCATTAGTCTGCAATTCTTGTGGTAAGCCTCTAAAAATACATAACACAGATGCTTTTTCGCTTAACTGACATCTGTAACACATAGCTAGTTTTTCTTGAAAATACTTTGTTACTGTTTCAGTGTTCATCTTTTACGATTCATTCGTTCGTCCAGTAAAGATGCATAATCATGATGCCTAGGAAAAGCTTTAGTTAACATTATTTTCCATTCGTCCCATGTATGATTGTATGAATCAAGACGATTAACCCAGTTTCGCGCCTGACCTTGTAATTTTGATTGTTAAGATTTTAAATCATCACTCCAATTATAAATGTCACCTAATTGCTCAATTTTCTTTATCCAGGTTTTAACATTTACGTCTTTATTTTCCGGGTCGAATTCAGGAATAAGATTTTCGGTTTTATATTATCCTTTAGATGTTGGCTCTGTTATATCGTTTTTAATACTTCTCATAGCTTCCTCTACTTTTCTATCAATTAAAGATTTTATTAATTCACTATAAGATTGTGCTTCCTCATTTACGTTCTGCTTACTTGATGCTAATCTACGCTTAGATTTTATATGCGTGCCACTATATTTAAAATTTCGCCTCATATTGTACTTTCCGTGCGACTTACTATCCCACTTCTGAACTGTAACGGTGTAATTTACTTTTTAAATGAAATAAACAACCTTTTGGCTTTCTATAATTAAATTTTAATAACTTTGTAAAAATATGCAACGTCCATGCAACAAATCTTACATTCCAACGAAAAAATGGCCGTCAAATTTATCTCTCCAATCCGCTCCACCAATCACCAATCAACTCCTCTCACGTCACCCAAGACAGCATACCTTACCACGTGACTCCTTTCCAATACAACCTCTTTTATCTTTATTACAATATATATACAACATGTAACAAAAACCCTGTGGTTCCCGTTAAGTACGTTATCAGGATCATTATTCAAACGTATAGAAATAACTTTTTTTTTTAAAACTCGAACAATATTTTTTTTATTTTATTTAAAAAAATAATTATATGCATATTGTATGTGGTTTTATTACCTCTGCATTGTCTGGGGGGTAAGAGGATTGTCAAACACCCCGCTTTACTTAGCTTTAGTATCGGCTAGTGTCAGTAAGAGGTAATAAAACCACATACAATTAAAAAAAAAAGAATATGGTCGAGTTTTAAAAAAAGTTATTTCTATAGGTTTGTTTATATATATATATATATATATATATATATATATATATATATATATATATATATATATATATCATTGCTACAAATGCTACAAAGCACGGTCCTGAGCCACCTGCATCTATCGACTTCCTGCATATCTTACCAGGTCGTCACTCCATCTAGTGGAGGGACGCCCTACACTTCGCCTACCGGTACGAGGCTGCCACTCGAGAACCTTTCTTCCCCATCGGTTGTCGGTTCTTCGAGCTATATGGCCGGCCCATTGCCACTTCAGCTTACTAATCCGTTGGGCTATGTCGGTCACTCTGGTTCTACTGCGGATATCCTCATTTCTGAGTTTATCACGCAGAGAAACTCCGAGCATAGCCCTTGCCATAGCTCGCTGAGCGACCTTGAGCTTCCTCATCCGGCCAGCAGTGAAGGACCACGTCTCAGTTCCGTATGTCATCACTGGCAACACGCACTGGGTGTACAGTCTCGTTTTCAAGTTTTGAGGTATACCTGACGAGAACATGTGCCGTAATTTCCCGAACGCTGCCCAACCGAGTTGGATCCGTCGATTGACCTCTCGGTCGAAGTTGGACTTACCTAGTCGGACTATTTGTCCCAGGTAAACATACTCGTCAACAACTTCGAGCTTAGTGTTCCCATCAACTATCGGCATAGGTGTGACATGGATATTAAACATGATCTTTGTTTTGTCCATGTTCATCTTAAGACCTATCCGTTGGGAAACACTATTGAGGTCATTGAGCATAGTGCTTAGGTCCTCCAGCGATTCTGCCATAAGAACTATATCGTCGGCAAATCGAAGGTGAGTGATGTACTCGCCATTGATGTTGATACCGTATCCTTTCCAGTCCAGAAGCTTGAAAACATCATCAAATGCAGCGGTAAAGAGTTTCGGGGATATGACGTCACCCTGTCTTACACCTCTCTGCAATTGGATAGGTTTCGTACTCTGGTTCTGTACTCGGATAGCCATCGTAGCCCTACTGTACAAGCACTTCAACACTTCGATATACCGACAGTCAACTTGGCATCGCTGAAGGGACTGCAGCACCGCCCAAATTTCGACGGAATCAAAGGCTTTCTCATAGTTCACATACGCCAGACATAGTGGCAAATTGTACTCCTCGGACTTCTGTACAATTTACCGAAGGGTATGCATGTGGTCTATAGTGCTAAAGCCTTTTCGGAAACCGGCTTGTTCGGGAGGCTGGAAGTCGTCAAGTCTGCGCACGAGACGATTCGTAATGACTCTCGAAAACAGCACGTAGACGCGGCTCAGAAGGGAAATCGGTCTGTAGTTCTTCAAGAGAGCGTTGTCACCTTTCTTGAAGAATAATGTAGTGTATTTCGTAAATAAGTAAATAAGACACGGGTAAGCGGATTGACGGTTTATTCGTGACTGTTCGACAAGCCTTTTACAATCAATCACTTATATATTTAATGTACCCTCATTACAATCCTCCCCCCTTAATTAAGACTTACAATTAGTTATATATAAGTATTTTATACTATACTGTTATACAGAAAAGGAAAAAAAAATGTTGAAAATATTTAAAAAAAAAAAGGTATATAAAAATAATATAGTGCAATGGTAACTACTCTTTATAGCTTGGGGGGTTATCCAAACGGCACTTGCGTACCGGCCGGAAGACCTGGGGCGGCGTTGCGGGCGGCACAGGCGACGTATGAGCTGATGGAGCACGAAGTGTTGACGTTTCCCTTGCCGTATCTAAGCAATCACTCTTATCTATTATTTCGGTTCCCTCCGGTGCTTTTGATTTCCTCCCGGTGTCTTTTACGGCAGGGTTTATTCTAGGCGCATTAATTTCCTCTGCACCGGTGCAAGACAACGACTCGGAACTCGAATTTGGCTGACTATTACTACTACGGGGACAAATCAGTGAACTCCTAATTCTACGTTTTAGCTGGTCTATATGCTTATGTGACTCCTTACCTATAGTGTCTAAAACTTTGTAGTCCGTTACGCCCAAACGTTGCGTCACTTGTCCGGCTGTCCACTTGTCACTCCCCTGATATCGGCGAAGCCATACATCCTCACCCGGCTGCAGGCCACGTTCACCAGTGGGAGCGTTCTCTTTCTGGTTTATTTGAGTTTTAATAATTTTATTCTCAATATCCGGTCTAAGTACGTCTAGTTTAGTACGTAATCTTCTTCCTAACATGAGAGAAGCGGGACTTTCGCCCGTAGTACAATGTTCGGTATTTCGATAATGCAATAGGAAAGTGTTTAAAAATAAATTTATATCTTTATTTTCCCTCACTGCCTTTTTAATAACTTTCTTGACAGTGCGGACTGCGTTTTCCGCGGCACCGTTTGAAGCCGGGTGGTACGGTGCGGTGAAAACATGCTGTATCCCATTATTTGTTAAAAACTGAGAAAATTCCCTACTGATAAATGGCGGCCCATTGTCTGATACTAATTGTTTAGGTAGACCCCACCTAGCAAAAACTTCGGAAAGTTTAACTATAGTGTGGCTAGCTGCTGTACTCGGTACATAAAAAACCTCTAGCCATTTAGTTCTGGCATCAATTATTACCAAGTAAATTTTATTGAAAATTGGCCCTAAAAAATCTATGTGTATACGAGACCAAGGCTTAGCCGGCCATGGCCACGGGCTTGGAGTGTGCCGTTGGGGCGCGTCCGCCTCGGCCGCACACACGACGCACGCTCGACACATCGTTTCGATTGCCTCATCGATCCCCGGCCACCACACATAGCTTCGAGCTACCGCCTTCGTTTTGACGATTCCCATGTGGCATTCGTGGAGTTCGTTTAACACCCTACCCCTGCAATTCTCCGGTATGACTACTCTATGACCCCACATGATACACCCTAGTTCTTCGTATAGTTCCTTTTTTCGGTTAAAATACGGTTGCAATGATTTGACCTCATTATCGATGGGCCAATCTTCTCTTAAGTATAGTATAATTCTACCTAAAATCGGATCGCGCTGGGTTTGTTTTTTAATTTCATTATAATCTAGTAACATTTCACTTTGAGCGAAATGTAAATACGTTTGTTCAGGTAAATCTAAACATTCTTTCTTTGTGGATTGAACCGATACCGGTAGACGAGATAAGCCATCCGCACAGTTCTGTTTACTACTAACGTACTCTATGTCATAAGAGTAAGCGGATACCGTAATCGCCCAACGCTGCAATCGGCTCGCAGCCATTAAAGGAATGCCATGTTTTGGGCCAAAAATACTGACAAGCGGCTTGTGATCAGTACGTAAGGTGAACCGTCGACCATACAGGTATTGATGCAATTTTTTTAAGCAAAAAACAATTGCTAAAGCCTCGCGATCAATTTGTGAATAATGTTTCTCCGCGTCGCTGAGAGCTCTCGACACATAGACCACCGGCCGCTCGCTTCCCGCTGCGCCGGCGCACGGCTGAGTGAGCACGCCTCCTATACCTCGAGCGCTCGCGTCACACGTCAGTATTAACGGTTTGTTTTGATCGTAATGCAATAATACTTCCGCACTGGTTAAGACCTTTTTAATTTTTTTAAAAGAGTCCTCGCAACTTCTGTCCCAGTCCCAAGTAACACCCTTTTTTAATAAGCCGTAAAGTGGGGCTAAGGTAGTACTTAAATTTTTAATGAACTTAGCGTAAAAATTGACTAATCCTAAAAATGATCTTAAGTCCGAAACGTCCTTGGGGCGCGGAATTTTTACTATAGCAGCTACCTTGTCAGGATCAACTTTAATGCCATCTTTTGAAATAATATATCCTAAATACTTGACCTCGTCCACCATGAATAAACATTTGTCTTTCCTAAGCTTCATTCCGTTTTTATGTAATCTACTAAGCACCGTCTCCAATATTTGTAAATGCTCTCTTTCATTAGAAGAACCTATTATTATATCGTCTAAAAATACTTCTACCTTTTCGATATCGTGAAAAAGATTTGACATTATACGCTGGAAAATTCCTGGACTTGATGACAACCCATATACTAGCCTGTTATACGTAAATAAGCCCCTATGTGTATTTATAACGGTAAGGTTTTTAGAGTTATCTAGTTCGATCTGATTGTAGGCTTGTGACAGATCGATTTTAGAGAATATTTTAGCGCCATTCATACCTACTAACAAATCATTAATCCTAGGCAAGGGAAATCTATCGACCAGCAATACGGGGTTCAGTGTCACTTTATAGTCTGCACAAATTCGGAGCCCTCCATCCGCCTTACGTACCGGCACCAGAGGTGTAGCCCAGTCAGAGCTCTCCACGGGTTCAATAACCCCCTCCCGAAGCATCGCATCCAGCTCAGCATCCACGCGGTCCTTGAGCGCGTAGGGCAAAGGTCGTGCGCGGCAGAACACCGGTGTCGCCCCTTCCCGGACTCGCAGCGTCGCCTTGCCGCCCGCGAACCGCCCCAAGCCGCCGGAAAACAACTTGTTATATCTGTCGAGTAATAATGACAAATTATTGTTACTAAAATGGTCATCCAGCACCATGCTGTGGAATGTCGGAATTTTAATCTGCAGTTCCGACAGCCACTGTCTACCCAACAATGAAGTCGTGCCCCCATCTATTACAAACAGTTCTAAGTGCTTTGTTATATTTCCATATCTAACTTCGGGCTTGATGATGCCTAAAGGTTTGATTCGACTTCCATCATAAAATTTTAGAACCAGATCGAACTTGTCCATGGGTCTAGTGTAAAAATATTTATTATAAGTCGCTTTACTTATACAAGACACTGCCGACCCGGTATCAATTTCCATATTAAGTTTAAATCCGTCTAATAATAATGTTAGGCTCACCGGTTTATAGCTATTTAAACATAGATGGTGTAGATCCTCCTGTAACTCCGTTTGACTTTCCACGGATGGTGGCTCGTCGTCCGCTGACGGTGTCTCGCACTCTGCCGCCTCCACATGGTACATGTGGCGTCGGGAGCCCGCATTTCCCGTGTACCCCCCTCGTTTGGGACATACCCGGCGTAGATGACCGCTCTGTTTGCATTTACCACACACGAATTTCTTATAGCGGCAATCATCACTTCGGTGGTACCTCGACCCGCACGCGCTACAATATAGCGCATTGCCGCCGCCATGTTCTCGACCTTTAAAAGCCCTCGGTGCGCTGTCCTGCTCCCGCGTTCGAGCGCGGCTTGTCGATGACGTCACCGCATGCAAGGCGCTGTCCGCGCCGCTACCGCCGAGCCCGTCGCCGTCGCCCGCCTGCTCCACCGCGGCCGAATCCCGCTCCGCCGCCTCTAAAGCGCAAGCTATTCTCACAGCTACGGAATATTTCAGATTATCTTCTGCGAATAATCGTTGACGGATGACATCACTTCTTAGCCCACACACCAATTGATCCCTTAAATTGTCCTCTAGAGTTGAATGAAACTCGCAGTATTTCGACAATTTCTTAAGTTCGGTTATATACTGCGGAATCGTTTCTCCGCTCAACTGTCTTCTTTGTCGAAAACGATATCGCTCCGCCATGAACGAGGGTTTCGGTTGAAGATGTTCCTGAAGTATTTTTACCACTTCTTGATACGATTTATCTCCCGGTTTAATCGGACTTGTTAAATTACTTAATAATTCGTACGCTTCGTCTCCCATACCGGCGATTAATGTTGGCAACCACATTTCGTTTTTCACTGCATTTACCTTAAGGTACATTTCTAGTCTCTCAACATATAAAGTCCAGTTTCCCGTTTTGACGTTGAATTCACTCACTTTGCCGATCGACATTATATTTAATATGCGTCCACGTAAATTTACCGAAAAAATAAAAACGACTTGATCCTCGTCGCCACTGTAGTGTATTTCGTAAATAAGTAAATAAGACACGGGTAAGCGGATTGACGGTTTATTCGTGACTGTTCGACAAGCCTTTTACAATCAATCACTTATATATTTAATGTACCCTCATTACAAATAAGACCACCGCACTTCTGCTCCACGCCTCCGGTGTAATGCCACCATGGAGGACGGAATTAAAGAGCTTCTGAAGGACCTAAGTACCGGTTTTCCACCCGCTTTCAGAAGCTCCGCTGTAATTCCATATTCGCCTGGGGCCTTGCCGTTTTTAAGGTGCTGGAGAGCCATTCTAATCTCGCTCAGACTGACGTCCGGGATATCATCGGAATAATGTCGGATAAGACTCGCTCTTGGATCGTTACTCACACTTGCGTGCGGCTCCAACGATGACGTGTACAGCTGCCCATAGAACCTCTCAATCTCACTCAAAATCTCAGGTGCCCCGGAAACGATGCTGCCACACTCGGTCTTCAGCTTCGACAGTTGGCTCTTTCTGGCAGACAGATCTCTGGCAAAGACTTTGGAGCCTTGGTTCCGCTCGATCGATTCTTCAATACGAGCTGTATTGAAGTTGCGTAAGTCCCGCCGCATGCATTTGGAGATCTGTCTGTTCAGTTGCCTGTATGCTGTCAAATCTGTTGAAGAATGTAGCTTCATCTCCCGTCTAACAGCCATGAGATTAAGAGTGTGATCGGAGAGTTTTTGTGTTCTTCTGCGGCGGGTCTTGCAGAACTTGGCTCCGACCGCATGGACAGTTTCCACGAGCTTGTCATTCAAATCGTCCACTTCATTGCAATCTTCTAGGCACTGAAAACGGTTTTGTAACTCGAGCTGAAAAGTTTCGGGACTTTGGATTAGAGCACGAGGGGGACGAAGCGTTGACTTCATTAGAGGAGACCTCTCCAACTTAACGTTTAGGTTCAGTGTGCCTCTAACCATTCGGTGATCGCTGCCGGTTTTCACCCTCGCGATCACTGAGATATCACTGAACAGTTGTCGTCTGGTCGTCATAATGAAGTCAATCTCATTTTTTGTCGAACCGTCGGGGCTCGACCAGGTCCACTTTCTGTGGGGCCGCTTCTGGAAGAAAGAGTTCATCATAAAGAGTCCCTCTTTCTCCATGAAGTCGGCCAGCTCCTGGCCCCTTGGGTTCCGTTGCCCTATTCCAAATTTCCCCACTTTCAGCTCACCGTTCTCTCTTGTGCCTAGTTTTGCATTGATATCTCCCATTAACACCGTATATTGGGTTTTGGAGGAATGCATGGCTCTAGAGATATCCTCATACATTTCCTCCACCTCCTGATCGGGGTGTGCCGAGGTTGGTGCGTAAACCTGTATAACCTTCAGCGAATACCGTTTGATGGTTCTGAGTATAAGGTACGCAACCCTCGTCGACACACTCTCTATCTTTACAACGTTGTTAACAAGAGATAAATCCGACACCTCCTTGGGACAGATGATCGCCCTCCCGGTTATATAGCAAGTTGCCGGATTCGAGGATTACCGTGTCCTCCCCCTCTCTTCGGACTTCGGATAATCCTATAATATGCCAGCGTAACTTGTCTATCTCTTCTTCCAGCTCCACAATCTTCTCGTCAGTCCTCAGGGTGCGTGCGTTGTATGTTGCCAGGTCGAGTCGTCGTAGGTGGCAACCGAACCTCCACCGGAGATTCTTAGCACCCCCTGCCCCGCCGTTACCATGGTCGCCACCGTAGCCAGGAATAGCGGGGCCCCCAGGGCCGTCTCTTCGTAACTTTCATCATGGGGGGTATATTGCCATAGTTGCCACGCTTGGCGAGCGGGTTGGCAACTGCAGTTTTTTATTGTATTTTTGCCGTTACCAGGAAGATGCTGCTGCCCATCTCCTGCCTGTTTCCCTTTGTCGCCTTTTACGACACCCACGGGAAGATATGGGGTAGTGGATATTCTTAACCGCCACTACACAGCAATATTCCACTGTTAAAAATATATATATATTATATTTTAACAGTGGTAGAGCCACGCGGCAGTTTTTGTTGTCGTACGGATGGGCCGGCTCGAACCGGGGTGGTACCACGACCTCACAGAAAACCAGCGTGAAGTATAGGTTAACCTCTGGTTTCGCTTGGTGAGTGCAGGTGGCCGGAGGCCCTTTTTACTGGAAATGAGGCATTCCATCTTAGTCCTCACGGGTGACAATGCATCTACATTTTGATTTGTAATAGACGATAGATGTAGATGTTTATGGGCCGCAGCAACCACTTACCATAAGGTGGACTGCGTGCTCGTTTGTCACCCTTATCCTATAAAAAAATAACCCTTTGGAGTAGTATATCCTGCAAAATTTTCCCTTTGAAGAATTCCTCCACAAAAAGATTTTCTTCACCTCCATGGTGGTATGCAGATTGCTCCTTAATTATTACAAAACGAACGGCAACAGAACGGTTATATTAATCTAATATATCAGACTGGCTCCCCCTGGGTTCCATTGGAAGAAGAGATATTTCCTACCTCCAAATCATTTCATCCTAACTCATCTAACTCTTTTAATGACCTTAATGAACCATTTTCAATAGTTGACCTGTAGTTAGTGCTTAAGCACCTAAAGGATTCCACTCCTGATGGTATCCCCTACTCATTTCTTGTTAATATGGGTACTACGTGTTAGCAGTTGGTGTTAAGCATCATTAACTTTACTTTTACAACCGGTTCTATTCCAGATGACTGGAAAACACATATTATTTTACCCATTCTAAAATCTGGTCAAGACCATTCTTCAGCATTAAGTTATCGCCCTATTGCTATTTCATCAACCTTGTCTAAAATTATAAGGCATCTCGTAAAAAATCGAGTTGAGTGGATTCTTAAAAATACAGGCATTATATCAAAGAGCCAATTTGGTTTTAGAAAAGGTTTTAGCACAATGGATAGCCTTAGCATCTTAGTATCCGATATAAGACTCGCCTTCTCCAATACAATGTTCTGGTTGGCGTTTTCATTGATGTTTGTGCGGCATGTGATGATGTTGTTCTCCCACTGCTGAGGTGAAAATGGATCAGCTGAACATTCCTGAGAGTAAAAAAAAATATATATATATATATATATATATATATATATATATATATATATATATACATATATGTATTTGGTATTCTTCGTGGCCATGTTTGATGATTACTACCTTCAGATTATAACTAAATGTGATTAATTACGTTGGCTATTCAGGTTTATACTGACGTAAAATTACTCATTGTGTTTATGCATTTCATTTTTAGTTAAAAATAATTTTTCATTATAACTTCCAGGGGCCAATGATTGTACTCTGTAACTCGGGAAGTCAAGTCATTTTTTTATTACTTACACAGAGATTACTTCAATAAATGTCATTGGATTTGGACACACATCTACCCTAAAGAATAAAGATTTAAATATCTCACCTGTAATTTAGTTATAGGAACACAAACCAATCATTGTATAGTGTAACCCTACATTGTTTAGATAAAGGATATATAAAATATGTAATTATTAATAACTTTAAATATATGTTAGTACTATATAGTATCATCATCATCATTACAGCCCTTCACAAGTCCACTGCTGAACATAGGCCTCCCCCAAAGAATGCCACAAAGCACGGTCCTGAGCCACCTGCATCCATCGACTTCCTGCATGTCTTACCAGGTCGTCACTCCATCTCGTGGGGGGACGCCCTACACTTCGCCTACCGGTACGAGGCTGCCACTCGAGAACCTTTCTTCCCCATCGGTTGTCGGTTCTTCGAGCTATATGGCCGGCCCATTGCCACTTCAGCTTACTAATCCGTTGGGCTATGTCGGTTACTCTGGTTCTACTGCGGATATCCTCATTCCTAAGTTTATCACGCAGAGAAACTCCGAGCATAGCCCTCTCCATAGCTCGCTGAGCGACCTTGAGCTTCCTCATCCGGCCAGCAGTGAAGGACCACGTCTCAGTTCCGTATGTCATCCCTGGCAACACGCACTGGGTGTACAGTCTCGTTTTCAAGGTTTGAGGTATACCTGACGAGAAGATGTGCCGTAATTTCCCGAACGCTGCCCAACCGAGTTGAATCCGTCGATTGACCTCTCGGTCGAAGTTGGACTTACCTAGTCGGACTATTTGTCCCAGGTAAACATACTCGTCAACAACTTCGAGCTTAGTATTCCCAACAACTACCGGCATAGGTGTGACATGGACATTAAACATGATCTTAGTTTTGTCCATGTTCATCTTAAGACCTATCCGTTGGGAAACACTATTGAGGTCATTGAGCATAGTGCTTAGGTCCTCCAGCGATTCTGCCATAAGGACTATATCGTCGGCAAATCGAAGGTGAGTACTATATAGTATAGTTGTCTACTAATTCAATAGAAATATTGTATCTACAAAATTTTAAATAAGTTTTTAATTATAATCAAACTATCATATCAGCGTAACATAATTTACACAATATCTTTATAAATTAAGGTACGTGAGGGTAATATGGTCACCTTAAGCTTTGCCTACATATAAAACCAAAACTTGGAGCAGGACAGAGACAAGAACACAAAATCTTAAACTATAACTAATATATTAAGAAAAAAATAGAAAACTAACTTTGGCAAGAATTAGGAACACTTCAAAAATCAAGTTTTAAAAGAAACAGTTAGTGACCATATCTACCGCATATGCTGGATATATGGTCACTATGTGTCCATATTAACAGTATGAATTTTCCACATAAATTAGTTCTCACATTTTGGACACATGTATCTTTCTTTATCTTCTGCTGTTAATCCAACACACTCTTCATGTACATAAACACCACAACATTTGCAGAGCCTCATGTCTGCTACTCTGTCTTTCTTACAGAGGAAGCAATACCATGTTTGCGCTTGCTTGGTAGCTTGTTTGCGTCTCTTCACTGGATGGGAAGCTTTTGTGCTTGATGTTGTATTTACTACTGTGGGATTTATCTCAGCGAACATCGACCTTGTCAAATGCTGTGCCAGACTGTTAATTGTTTTGCGTCGTTGTGACTTATTGGAAGAATTTTTTTCAGGTGTCTTCAAAATTCATTCATGATAAAAGTTGTATCGGAATGCCTCGACGATCGCGCTCCAGTAACTGCTATTTTTATGGATATGTCAAAAGCTTTTGATTACGTAAATCATGAAAATCTTCTGCAAAAGTTATATATGTATGGTATCAGAGGACCTATATTTGGTCTTGTATCGTCATATTTAAATAACCGATTTCAATGCACAGAAATCTCTTATGTGAATGAGGAAAATCGATCTGAATTGCAGGTACGATCTCAGTCGCAGCTTGTAAAGTGTGGTGTACCCCAAGGAAGTATACTTGGGCCGCTTCTTTTTCTACTGTACATCAATGACCTACCTAGACGTGTGCAGCATGAAATGATCCTTTTCGCAGATGATTCTACTGTTATGATAAAAAATAACAGCAATAAACCATACGAATGTGTTATTGCTGAAGCTTTGTCTGATATTATCAATTGGATGAAAGCTAATGATCTCGTCATAAACCTAGATAAAACAAAATATATACAGTTTTATCTTCCCCGAAACCGGAAACAAGAGACTGTTGTTATACTTGAGGGGCATTTGATTGAGCGAGTAAAACAAATACGTTTCCTTGGTGTGTTGGTTGATGAATGTGTAAGCTGGAAACCGCATACTGAATATCTTACAAGTAAAATTAGTAAATTTGTTTATCCTCTAAGAAAATTAACACAAACTGTCTCACAAAAAGCTGCACTTACTGCTTATCATGGATACGTTGCCACCAACTTAAGATATGGTATCATACATTGGGGAGGCGCGGCTGATGTTAACCTGTTGCCATTGTTTAGTATGCAAAAAAAGTGTCTCAGAGCAATGTTTGGTGCCAAACAAACAGACAGTTGCAGACCTCTGTTTGTAAAATTAAGAATCCTAAATCTGCCCTCATTGTAAATATACCAAGCCTGCTTATTCGTCAAAAATAATTTACATTATTTTAACTCGCACATTGCTAATCACCCGAGGCAAACAAAGAATAATGTTACTATTATACCGTTTCACACATCTAGGACAGCCTTTTTCTCAAAAAGTTTTTATGCATTAGGACCAAAAATATATAATCATTTACCTGACAAATTAACAGATTTAGAAATAAAAAAAATTAAGAATAAATTATTAGAATTATTGACTGAAAGATGTTTTTACTCCTTAAAAGATTATTTGAGCTACAAACTTACATTCTAAATTAATTGACATTTGAAATATTTTCTGAATTATGTTTTAAGCAAAGAATATTAAAATCACTACGTTTTAGTTATAAGCTAACATGTATTTTGACATATCAATATTCAATTCATAGAATTAGCTTATACTGGCATAATTCCATTGTACTTTTGACATTATTATTTATTATCCACGTGTGTTGAAATATTTCATTGTACGAGTATGACATTATGCTTTATTATCCGTGTTATTTGATTTGATTTAATGAATAATGAGATAATGTTTTAAGTTCCATGATTTTAATAATATTGTAAGCCTTATCTAGGCAGGTTGTGGTGATACTTAATTACTTTTATAGTGTTAAATCTCTTAAACCTACAACTAACACAATAAATGACTTATTCTATTCTATTCTATTCTATTCTATCATATCTGTGAAGGACACATTGCCCGCTTCATTTATATTGCTGGAAGATGTTGACAATATCGGCTGCAGAACATTGCATAACGTGGAGGAAACTATAGGCTGAACAACGACTTCAGCAGTTGAAGGTATAGGTTACCCAGTTTATTGAACACTGGTGGGTTCACGGGTTTTAATTCTATGACTTCCAGGGAATCCAATGGTGCTGATTCATCTCTGATGCAAGATGAAATCACATTTTGTTGTTCATTGCTTTGAAACAAGTTTAAAGGGACGTTATATTCGCAACTGAATCTCTCATCATTAAGTGCAGAAGCTGCATTTAGAATGCTTGCTGCATTATTTTCATCAGAATTGCTCTCCAGTTCACCTGCTTTCTGTGAGTTGGAATGCTAGGAGCATAAGCACATTCCGGAATTCTATCTGTGTTGAATGGATAGATTCCAGTAGTTTCAAATCCGGATTTTATATTAGATGTAGTAAATATCCTCTCGAATCTTTATTATGTCAGAGCTTTGTCTTTGTTCTGGAACCGAAATTTCTGAAGCTCTTGATCCCAGTAATGGTCAAACGCTCTAAAGACAGCCTTGTCCATGGGTTGCAGTTCGTGCGTTGTGTTACTTGGAAGACATAATAGAGTAATGTCGTGTTTATCTGCAACGTCTACAATATTGTAATCTAAGTGACTAGATCCTCCATCGAATATCAATACAACGTTTTATGGGATAAGCTTAACCAGGAAACCACACACCAAGTTTTCAAATATTGGTATCACAACCAAACCAACTGTGTGAAGTGGGCTGGCTCATATTCGTCGGAGTACAGGTTGGAGTGCGGGGTGAGGCAGGGTGGCCTTAGCTTCCCTCAACTCTTCAACCTGTACGTCGACGGTCTGATCGTTGAGCTCAGTGATGCCGGTGTCAGCTGCTCAATCGACGGTCATTTTGTTAATAATATAAGCTATGCCGACGACATGGTTTTGCTGAGCCCATCGATCAAGGCCCTAAATACGCTGGTGGGCATCTATGAAAGGTACGCGGCGGCTCATGGTCTCAGATATAATTCTAAAAAGAGCGAACTACACGTTTTTAAGGGTGGAAATAAAAAAACCTAAGTCTGTCCCTCATGTTAGACTTGGAGGAGTTACACTACATACAAAGAATAGCCTCCCTGATGTGTCGCGTGCGAGACAGCACTAACAGCCTCCTAGCTTCCATATATGGAAGGCAAGATTGCCCTGTGATGAGGCACTGGAATACAGTGCATATGGGTTCCAGGCCCAATATGTTTAACAACAAATGATAATTTGTTGTAATATGTTTAAAAACAAAGAGAGGACGACTCACTGGCCCATGCCGCAAAAGAGAAAGCCGATCTGTTGTGCTCTCTTTTTGCGTCCAACTCGACTCTAGATGACGGGGGGAACACACCGCCGACCATCCCGCGATGTGAGTGCTCCATGCCGGATGTGCGATTTACACAGCGCTCGGTTCGCAAAGCACTTTTCTCCCTGGACGTCAGCAAGTCGAGTGGGCCCGATGGAGTCCCTCCCATTGTGCTGAAGACGTGTGCTCCGGAGTTGGCACCGGTTTTAACGCGTCTTTTCCGGTACTCCTACTCCCAAGGCGTAGTCCCGAATTCATGGAAGACAGCTTTGGTCCACCCGATCCCTAAAAAAGGCGACCGCTCAGACCCGTCCAACTACAGGCCTATCGCCATCACCTCCTTGTTCTCCAAAATAATGGAATCCATTATAAACTGCCAGCTCATGAGGTACTTTGAGGATCACCAGCTGATCAGTGACCGTCAGTACGGTTTTCGTCGGGGTCGATCAGCAGGTGATCTTTTAGTTTACTTAACTCATAGATGGGCGGAGGCAGTAGAGTCCAAGGGGGAGGCATTGGCCGTTAGTTTGGACATAGCGAAGGCCTTCGATCGGGTCTGGCACAAGGCGCTTCTTTCGAAGCTTCCTTCCTATGGGCTTCCTGAGAAATTGTGCAAATGGATCACCAGTTTCCTTGCTGATCGGAGCATCAAGGTCGTAGTAGACGGTGCATGCTCTGATTACAAGCCTATCAACGCTGGTGTTCCACAAGGCTGCGTGCTATCACCAACGCTGTTTCTCCTGCATATCAATGATATGTTGCTAACTGGTAGCATTCATTGCTATGCAGACGACAGCACTGGGGATGCCTTATATACCGGCCGTGCCAATATTTCTCGGGAAAACGTCGCCGAGTACCGGGACAAACTTGTGTCTGAAGTCGAGTCTTTGCTTAACAAAGTCTCGGATTGGGGCCGACTAAATCTAGTCCAGTTCAATCCCCAGAAGACACAAGTTTGCGCGTTTACCGCTAAAAAGAACCCCTTTGTCGTATCTCCTCAGTTTCAAGGCACTCCCCTTGCTGCCTCAGCCAGTATCGGAATCCTTGGCGTCGACATATCGAATAGCGTGCAGTTTCGTGGTCACTTGGAAGGGAAGGCCAAATTGGCCTCTAAAAAGCTTGGCGTGCTCAGCAGAGCGAGACAGTATTTCATGCCGACACATCGCTTGCAACTTTACAAAGCGCAAGTTCGGCCTCACATGGAATACTGTTCTCATCTCTGGGCCGGGGCACCCCAGTGCCAGCTCCTTCCACTTGACCGCATCCAGCGCAGAGCGATTCGAATCGTCGACGACCGAGTTCTTTCCGATCGGCTCGATACACTGGCACTGCGTAGAGATGTTGCATCTCTTTGCGTATTTTATCGCATCTATCACGGGGAGTGCTCTGAGGAATTGTTCGGACTAATTCCAGCCGCTCAATTTCACCATCGCACGTCGCGACAAAACTCGCGTTACCATCCATACCATCTGGATGATTGGCGGTCCACCACTGTGCGATTTAGAAGAAGTTTTCTCCCTCGCACAACTTCTTTGTGGAATCAATTACCACCAGCGAATTTTCCGAACCGATACGACTTAGGAACCTTCAAGAAAAGAGCTTACACCTTTCTAAAAGGCCGGCAACGCATCTGCAATTCCCCTGGTGTTGCGGTTGTTCATGGGCGGCGGTAGTCACTTAACATCAGGTGAGCCGCATGCTCGTTTGCCACCTATTCTATAAAAAAAAAAAAAATTTTGGTAATGTATAATAATTTCAATTCTGTAAATTTACTAACCCCTAGTTTTAAGTGTAGTAACAAAGTGGGTGTAATTACCTGAATAATGAATAAATAAAATATATATATATATATATGTATATATATAAAAAGAATGAAAAGAGCAATTTATAAAATGAAATCAGGTACATTTAGCCAACGAAAAGCTTGCACA